AAATATGTAAGCACAGAAACTTGAGATATGAGATTGTATTGTTGCCGCGATGTCGAACTTTTACCTTCGCTCTGTGTGTGTGTGTGTGTGTGTGTGTGTGTGTGGTGTGTGTGTGTGTGTGTGTGTGTGTGTGTGTGTGTGTGGTGTGTGTGTGTGTGTGTGTGTGTGTGTGTGTGTGTGTTGTGTGTGTGTATTTATTTATGGATATGTATATGGATATGTATTTTTACAGAACCAGTATGCGAGTGTGTGTGTATGTGTGTAGATATACAAAGTGTATTTATGTATATGGTTATTTATATACAAACATGCGAGTATGTAGAAACATATCTAAATAAGATTCTGGTTCATTAAGCAACTGTGGTCGCAGGCATGCGAACATTCCTCTACAATTTTTGGGTGAATATCGACTGCCTAAACTGCTTATTGTACATCTGGCAGTGTCTAGGTATCTGCACATGCACGTTGTTGTTTAATATCATTTAATACTCAATGGTTCAAAAATAGGTTTTAAAAGGTAAACAATCGTAAATCATGTTTGTTATCATCATCACCATCATTATTATCACTATTGTAAACAAGCAACAATACTGATGAATGAAAATAGTGAGTACTCCATTGCTGCGGTCATTATCACTGTTAATATACATCAAGATCATGTGATCATAATGACCACCGCGAGAACACAAAATACTCCGAACCCTCTGCGTTATTTCCCAGGCGTCTCTCACTTCTCCGAGATGAACTGGCGGCGGAATGGCGGTCGTGGCGGCGCCTCCTTCGCAACCAAGCCGAAGAGGACACCTCAGGAGGACCTTCCCCCTCCTGCCCCTAATCTGGTGGGTCTAAGTGATAGTAAGAGTTGCGGTAATCAGTGCGAGGATCGGTTCAAGAGTAATGAGATGTGATGCAACATTTCGTTCAGCTATGTTCAAAATTGTGGAAGCGAAATATTGAATCCATTTTGGAGTCATTTCAGTGAGGTTTTAAAGGTGGTTCACAATTTTCAATATTTTCACAAGCGTACAGACAGCACGCTGTTGGAGGGGGTGGGGGGGAGTCAGGGACAAGTATACACTTTTCAAAACGGAGAAAATGCGATCGGCTCTTGATAAACCATATTTAATCCACAGGCCACTCCTCCTGCAGCACGCAGGCTATACATATGGTGCTTACACGCAAATTATAATCAACATTTACATGAGTTTGTTTCAGCTTTGACATAATAAATTACTCTTCCTGGAAATAAACATTGCTGTACACTTTTTGAGGGGGGGGGGGGTGATCTCCAAATAGTGTATGTTCTGTACGCTTGTGAAAATGTTGAAAATTGTGACCCACCTCTAAGCGGATTCAATATGTATCATGTCGGTATAGATGAATAATCAAAATTCCACGTACTGTGACCAACATGGCGGAGAAACTTTGAAGAAAGAACAGAATATAAGGCACATATAACAGACAGGAAGTGTGGTACCTGTAAAGTCATCGATAATTTGAATAATCATTTCCTGTTTAGGAGGTTGTGTGTTGTGGTTGATGGTGCAAAAGTGTGTGTTGTGGCTGATGGTGCAAACGTGAATATAGTTTGCTGACCTGTCCCGTAAGTTGCCAAATCTCCTCTGCTGTTAAAAAACGATGTAGCAGAGGAATCCGGAGGTCCCTTTTTACCATGGCATTGGCCCTTTTCATGGTTGAGTCTTCATAAATCTCGTCCAAACCTTTGAAAAGTTTTTTTTGTTGGTGAGGTAGAGTGAGCAAGCTGTTGCCTTGTTCAGCTTCCTTATCTGACCACATGTTGAATACTTGAGTTGTTAGTTGCAGAGGGGAAATAAAACTGCACACGAATAGTTAATATTTATTTTGAGAATACAGGAAAGCCATGAATGATTTGTGTCGTCTGAGTACCTTGTTTTTGGTCAGACTTTTGTAATGTTGTTTTGCCATTATTAGTTTACTTTATCATACGTATTATCAGAGTTATCACCATCAGCCATTATCGGTCTCTCATACTTTCTACTATATCACTGACTTTGAGGACATTGTTTTATTCGTTAATCAGTGTCATGATCGTTTGTGTTAAGCTATGTACCACGTCTTATGATTTTTTGTGTTAAGTATATATCCACCAAGTTTTAACATACCATTTTCTATTTTTATGATTTTGTGTTTGATACTGTGTTGCTGTCTTTATGGCCCTTTATTCAGAATTGAATAGTATTTACTTCTCTTAATGTGCAAAAAAATACGCAGGTAAATCCATATGAATATACTGATGCAGCTCACCCGCTCAGGTACGGTTCGTGTGCGTAAGCGATACACACAGCCGGGTAGTGAAGGCGGGCGTCCCCGATGGAGATGTCCTCCTCCATGCAGGAGATTTCACAGGGCGAGGCACACTCAGCGAGGCCATGCAGTTCAATATTTGGCTTGGTAACATTCCTATTCTTGTTATTATGAAACTTTTAATAATTCCACGCTAATGTAATAAGTGATGTTCGAGTGTTTGTCAATATGTGATATAGTATATGATTGGTCCTCAACCTTTTTACATCAGCAACCTTTTTTTTTTCAAATCTCTGGCACAACTATGATCATCCTGCATCAGCCGTTGCATTTGTATTTGTTTCTGATTACACATTGTTAAACTCAGAAAAATAACATTAACAGTCCTCTTTCCAAACCGTAATACCAATTCCTTGAAGACATATTATATTCGTAGTATGAACGCTGACACCCCCACCCCCCAATTTCTTTCCAACTTCACCTCAACAGGGACGCTACCTCACAAGCACAAAGTGGTGATAGCAGGGAACCACGACATCCTTCTAGACGCAGAGGAATGCGGCCGTGCTCTTCCCGCTGACCCAACGCGATTCCTCACCAACGCCATCTATTTGTGTGATGAGAGTGTGACTCTCTTCGGCATCAAAATATATGGTTCTCCGTGGTCAGTGAGCGATCTTCTTTCTTCTGATGGGAATGATTTCGTTATTGATTCTGGAAATAAAGTGTGTCTTTGCTGGAAGGGATTCTTGAATTTAGTAAACACACTACATGATTAGTGGAATTAATATTAACTGTCAATTTTGTATGATTAATGCTAGAAATTGTGAACAACGAGAAAAATGAAGTAAGATACACGAATTAAAGATCAGTGTTCAAACACATTCCAAACATACAGTCAAGTTTACGCCGATTCCAACAAGCATGAGAATGAATTCCCCTGTCTTGTTGCACGTGACTAAGAATTGCGCGAAATAATTGAATGTGTAAGTTTGGATAAAAAAAAAAAAAGAAAATGAAAGATGGTCAGTAGTGGGTTAAAAAATGAATTCCTCAGATCGAGCATGAACATATTTAAAGACAAGTTTTTCTTACCGCGAACATATTTTTTATATATTAAATAGTTTGGGGGAATAATAAAAATCTCATTTTCATATATGATTCTTGACGATCGACTACTACTTTGCTCCCATTTTCTTTTCCAGGATACCCGAATATCATTCGCCCATGAAAACGGCATCCGATAGGTGGAAGTAAGTACTTTTTACTGAAAAGAAGGAGGGGCTGGAGGATGACGGAGAAAGGAGGAGAGATGAATGTAAAAAATACATCATAGTTTTCAAAGACGAGAAATGTAGCAAGATGTATTGTATTAGTTATTTCGTTTTTGTCTTTTGCAAGAAAGGACGGTTTTTAGTGTGGACCAATTTTGATCGCATGATAGGTTAAAAAGAAAGCAGTAACGGATTTGGATATAACGAAGGTAAGATAATGTTCTCACTATGGCTATAATGGCGCTCTCAGATTAACTGCTTACATATTCCACAAGCTGCTTCTACATATGAGGACAATCAGTTTTTACATTTTTTCGATATTTTCTTAGTTTCTGCAGTCTTCTAGTTGAAGTGAATTTATTCTCATCATAATTAAGATACACTTGCAACAAAGATAAGAATAAAGTCTTAGCTGCAAATGACATTTTTTTACATTAACACGTTTTCCTTATTCTGTACTGTTTATTGTCCTATATTATGGGAATCTGACTGCCGTATATAAAGCTGATCTCTTCCCGGTCTCTGTGATACCTCAGTAACTAGGAACAACGTGATCTAATGAAAGTAGGACGAAATATTCACTTCATTTAAAAATCTTCAAATATTTATTTTCAGAGCAGAGAAATACCCACACCTAAGGGCCTTCGAGTTACCCCGAGGAGAACCCCTCCGGCAGAAGTGGCAAGCCATTCCCGCGGACACGGATATCCTGCTGACCCACACGCCGCCCCTGGGTCAAGGCGACCTGACCGCAAGGAAGAAAAGGGCTGGCTGTGAGGACCTTCAGGAGACCGTACAGCGTCGTGTCAGGCCCAAGTACCACGTCTTCGGTCACATACATGAAGGTGAGTTTGGTTTTTGTGTCTCGTGTTTTGGTTACAGGGACGTTTGGAGTGATTCTGAAAATGAAAAGAAAAGAAAAAACTATAAAGAACTATTTTGATTTATAGAGTCGGTTATATAGGTAGACAAACATGGATGATTGAATACGAGATATTTGGCTAGAGGAGACAGACACAGCCTGTTACTTTTTGGACAGACAGACAGACAAACAGACCGAGACAGAGAAAAAAAATCACCAAACCGACAGATAAAGTGACAGAAGACAAGAGGATATAAGAGACGCGGAACCCTGTCTCAGGTGGACAGTAAGAGCAAGACGTTCACCATTACAACCCAAACCCTTCCCCCCCCACAGGCTACGGTGTCTCGAAGGACGCGAACACAGTATACATGAACGCCTCGATCTGCAACTCGAGGTACCAGGCAATCAACGCGCCACTCGTCTTCGATTTACCTTTGCCCGATGGAGTGTCCAAGTCTTGAATCAGTATGGTTTTCTTGCGGGTTAGAAATAACACATTGTCACAGAATAAATAAATAGATCCATCGGTGTGAATAAGGTAAAGAGAAACAGCAAGAAAGAAAAGATTTTTTTTATTTAGAATTCTAATTAACCTCTCTCTCATCCTCTCCTGTTTCTCTCCTCTTTATATCCCTCGCTACAACCCCTCCTCTCTTTCTTCTACACATATCCCCTCTCTCTCTCTCTCTCTCTCTCTCTCTCTCTCTCTCTCTCTCTCTCTCTCTCTCTCTCTCTCACTCTCTCTCTCTCTCTCTCTCTCTCTCACTCTCTCTCTCTCTCTCTCTCTCTCTCTCTCTCTCTCTCTCTCTCTCCTCTCTCTCTCTCTCTCTCCCCTCTCTCTCTCCCTCTCCCCCCCTCCCTCTCCCCCCCTCCCTCTCCCCCCTCCCTCTCCCCCCCTCCCTCCCTCCCTCCCTCCCTCCCCTACTCTTGGTTTTTACTTTCATATTCAGAGACCTTTGGACTGAATATCCTCTTTAACAGCCCTGAGGAAGTTCTCGTGACTTCCGTTCTCATTTACGCGTACTCTCTTGAAATTCTCCTTCCAGCAACAGTGTCTCTTGGGAAATGATATTCAGAGCGCACTTAACACTTAATGCACGTCAGCCTTTCCAATATGACCATGAGTCAAATGTGGTGCTCTCCTTTGAATCACGGAAAACTTCATCACTCATTTTACTGGAAGGCGCCATCTCACTCACGGAAAGTCACCGTTGAACTGAATAAAAATAAACAAAAAAAAACGGGAGAATGACAGCCTGTGCATACTTGTTGCAACATGTACGCGGGCTTCTGTCTCCCGTCTCATAGGCCGAAAACTCCGTAAACATCCTCTTATATATTTTTTTGTTTTTTTTCATAATAAATTGGTCGAAAGCATTATGCTTTTACATATGTCTTGATAGAATAAAACGTTATTGTCATGCACATACCATGTTTTCTTTGTTCATTACACAGCATAAAATTGAATGAATCCAAGTAAAATGTACGATACCGCTTCTTTTTTCCCCCAATCTACACCACCTCTGCCGGTCTTGTGCTATTCTTGGCCAAAAAAAAAAAAAAAAAAAAAAAAAAAAAATCGCGTCTTTTTGACATCCTCAGTGGTTTGCATCATAGGCCGTACTCTACCATGCTGGCCCAATGGTGATTGGTACAGGTATATGTGGTCTTCGTCTGGAATCTCTGACTCGACCTTTCCAACATAGCTGCGCGTGGTGGCATAGCTTGAGTCATCCCCGATCCTCGCAAGCCTCGTCACCGTCGGCAAGGTGCCACATCTCCGGCGGGGATGCGATATATACCTACAGATTAATCATTGGGTTTAAAATCAATCTAGTGCGCAAATCGGCGAATCGTCTAAAAATTCCATTATCTTCTTCCTCAATCCAATGATTCTTTGACGAATTGGTACTATATTCTCAGCCTGTCCCACAAGACATCGTAGGTCTCATCACCCAAAGCTGCGCAGAACTCTCAAGTGACGAGACCTCACTTGTATAGACAAGTGTATTGCACATATCGCACATATATTTCTTAAGATGATGATTGTGGTGGCTGGCTGCCAAGCAAGAGGTCGGTCATTCATGTTTGTTAGCAGGCTATAGGCTACCAGAAGACACAGAGGAGGGTGAAATATTGAAATAAATACGAAAATGACATAGATCTATTTACCTTTCTTACAGCAACAATCACTCCATAACATAGAGAGTTACAAAAAAAACTTTCTACTGCACTACATCTTCAACAAATCATTCAATGGAAATTGATTGTTCCCTCCTTTATCTACCAGCACACATTTTTTTTGGTATTGCACTGCTTACCTCCTGGTGTGGAAACAATAATGATAACTGTAATATCGTTGAAACAACATTAATGATAATGGTAATAAATAATAATAACAGTAATGGTGATAAAAAAATGATAAGAGAGATAATTTCAAATTATATACAGTAGTTCAAAGCAGACCAGCATAAAATACATACGAAGAACAATATTAATCCGATTTTTGTCTTGCTGGGAACGAAACTCCAAACGGTTGACTTTTATCAAATTCCACTTAAACATATTCCACTTCTCGGGTACCTGAATCCTGTATCTCTTCAAAGGAAATGAGTGACATGTTTATACGGAGTGTAATTCAATAGAGACAGATAGTATTTCAACCTTTGTTTTACTAGGATAAAAAAGGAAAAAGTTCATAGATAACAAAGACATATCAAATATTCATAAAGTCTAATATTTCTATTATGTCACGGTTGCTTGACTTTGTCGTTAGGCTACATAATCATTCGTAATTCAGTTTAAAATGACGCATTTGTATTATTTTCTTTATTTATTGTTCCTATCTACTAGGTTCTCATATTGTCTTGATTCTAAAGGAAGGTCATACTCTAAGGTAACTCTTCAAATCTGGCCGAAAATTAAAAATGGCATCCGTTGGTCATGATGGCTACCAAAATACCAACATCTGACAGTTAACCCAGAATATTGGCCTGATTTTGATCAAGCTGGCTGACAAAATATCTTGTATGGTCATGCACAAGAAGTGAACGTCAAAAGTTACGTATTGTGACTAGTTCTGCACTGACATATTTTGAACAGATTACCTAAATATGTTCCTGATGTGCAGATAGTACACATTTTGAGCCAATATCAAGGTCAAAGGTTACATATTACATAGCAATTTTGGACCACATTATCATTTTCTTACTCCAAGAAGAGGAAGAATTAATATCTTTCAATAGCCACTACAAATTGACACGAATGTCTTTATCCTGACTGGGCTTGTCGCTGGCACCCTCGTCCAAAAAGCGCTGTACAAATCCGGATCTGAAACATTTGCACCTCCCTATCTAATCCTCCTGAGAAATTGCTGCACCTGATGAGAGGATTGTCCAGCGAATCTTCCGTCCAGGTAGAGGTCTCAGTCTCCGCCGTGCAAGGACTATTTACGATAATCAGCTGTTAGGTACATCGTGGCGAAGCTGTTCACCCTGAGCGCTTTGGTCCAGGGCGAAACGCACCGTGCAAAGAGACTTAAAAATTAACGCAGGGAGTATTTATTTTGACATGAAATAAAGAGCCTTAAAAAAGGGCTGATTGGCTTCCTTCAGTGATATCTTCTCTTTTGAAATGCTGTGTTTGAATTATCCTAACGAGCACTATGTTATGTTGATTCTGACCTGAGCCTTTTATTGATTATTATTTTCTTAGCAGTGACGTGTACTATAGATCTAATAATGGTGAGGCCTAAGGATTTAAAGCCTAATTAAGACTACAGTTGACAAGTAATTAATAGTTATGCGATATTTCCACATATCTCAAACCTCCAAGGCTCAGGTAAAAGAAAGAAAAGAAAAAACAACAACAATAGTACGGTTTGTATAATACACGTATGAAATACCGAAACAAGGAACTGGTTAAACCATTTTATCTCCAACCACCGATATTACATGCAAAAATACGTTTTCTGTCATATTTTGGTGGACCAATAGCAAGATAAGATAAGATAAGATGTGGATTTAGTGTAAAAGAGTATGTAAAGGTAATTGATAAAAAAATAAGGGGCCGTCTAATACTTTACCAAAAAAGGTGTGGTTAGAATAAATGTATCGAAAGTTCGAAAGAAGGTTTACTTTGGAAATTGTGACGCATAAGAACATCATCGTCGAAGTGATATTAGTTTCAAGATAAATATTCACGAGATCTTAAACTATGTTTACACTATACCCCCTAGAACAAACAAAGGATTGATATGTAATCTGGTTGAAAATGTAGATTTACGGAAATGATGAGAAGAAAATAGCAGAAAATAAGTTAGAATGTGTGGCAAGTTAAATCTTTTATATATACTTGCTTGTTTACACACACACACACACACACACACACACACACACACACACACACACACACACACACACACACACACACACACACACACACACACACATATATATATATATATATATATATATATATATATATATATATATATATATATGTATAAGGAATACATGTCATTTGTATGAGAATATTGATTATTAATGTTACTTTCTTTGTCTATATATGTAATGTGAATCATAAATTTCAAACTGATTATTCTACTTAACGGCAAGTCAAACGTCGAATTTACTTTAGTTACCAAATAACTATTGAAATCGTTTTCTATGAAGAGTAGAAGTTAAAGGGATAACTAAAGTATTCTGCATTTAAAGGGGAAAAAACCTGTTTTAGACATCAGAGGCAGTAACAAACACATTGATAAACTGAAACACTGACGGGATAAAAAGATTATTTTTATTGTGGCAATGTTTTATTACAATAATATTATTAATGATATAAATAATGATAATAATGATGATATAAATAATGATAATAATAATGATATAAATAATGATAATAATAATGATATAAATAATGATAATAATAATGATATAAATATTGATAATAGTAATGATATAAATAATGATAATAATGATGATATAAATAATGATAATAATAATGATATAAATAATGATAATAATAATGATATAAATAATGATAATAATAATGATATAAATATTGATAATAGTAATGATATAAATAATGATAATAATAATGATATAAATAATGATAATAATAATGATATAAATAATGACAATAATAATGATATAAATAATGATAATAATCATGATAATAAAGATTATTATTATTGATAATATTATTATTATAGTAAATACAACAACAGTGACACTGATAATGATAATAACAATAATGATAATAGTTATCATTATCATCACCATTATCATTATTGTTATCATTATTATGGTTATTATTGTTATTAGTATCATCATTGTTGTTGTTGTTATTGTTATTATTATTATTATTATTATTATTATTATTATTATTATTATTGTTATTATTATCATCATCATCATCATCATCATCATCATCATCATCATCATCATCATCATCATCATCATCATCATCATCATCATCATCATAAGGGGGCATACGCATGGCTGCGCTTTGCCGCGCCCAACCTTTGCCTCCACCTCCTGGGGTCCCTCCGAGCGAGCCTCCATGCAGCATTCCT